TTTCCAAGAAAAAAACAGAGATAAATTTTTATTCATTGACTGAGGGAGCAGTTTTTCTATGATTCTAGTCCATCTTTTCAAGAAAAATCTTGGATCTTTACATAAAAAGTGGACCTTTACATAAAAAGTGGACCAAAAAATGGACCTTTACATAAAAAGTAGACCTTTGAGCCTTGTCAGGGGGTTCTTCCGAACCCCCGAACCCCCCCTCGGCTACGGGCATGAGACTGTCAAATGTAACACAAGTCAGTCTGGTCTGAATATGGAAAAATCGTACCATTAAACAGGGGTAATGTTTCACAAATATCAACAAAGAGACCATTTCTGTTCATCCAGCTGACCCCACCGTTTGGTTTTAGGATACAGCCTTCATTCAAAATGGCTCTCTTTACTATCAGCACATGTGAAGCACTTATTTCATGTGTTACCAGTAATACATGCTATGATTACAATGCACCTTGTACATGTATTGCGAACTATTGTATCTGTATCTGTAATAGCCATATGAGAACATTTTTTTCAGAAGAAAGCTAAACCCGAGCAATGGGTCTGTTAACATGTACTACAAAGTCAACTAAATCTTTGCACATACTAGTAGTGGTACAATAACATGGAATGCTTTTGTAACAATGTGGTTCAAGCACAGCTAACTGACGTCATGACAAAGTCCAATGGGTCCTGGACCTTTTGGCTTAACGGTTAGTGTGCTGGGGTACATGGTAAGCTGGCTGCCCGGGTTCGGCACAGTTCGATTCCTGTTATCCTGTTTCTACTCACTCCTATAGTGTTTTACGTGTTTCCCACACCGGGAATCGAACCCGAAAACCAGATGTGTTACACAAGTTTGGAAGTTGGAACTATTTTATGTACTATCCATTTAACAGAGTAACTAATACATGTAATATACTAGTACATGTTGTAAAATTGTACAAAGTTGTAGTCACAGAAATTTGAAAATGTAGAAGTGCATGCATTATTCTATAGGAATCATTCCCCTGTTTAATAGTGGTACTTTTTAAGCTCTAGCCTCATCCTGGTCTCTGGGTCTGACCATAGGGTGGGGGCGGCTGTTTGGTGACGGGGTACTGGTCGTACGGGTACTGCACAGGGTACCCCCTCCCCGAGCCTCATCCCCCTGCAGATGCCGGCGGTGCGTTGGTAGATGCACAGCTGAGGCTACGCTTGTTGGTCTCCTCCTCTGGTGTACCACAACAGCACTGCTGCATCTTCTTCAGGCACCACTCGATGCCTGCATGGACAACATTGAAGATAAATACCACTTCCTATAAATCATAATCTTGTCCTTTCTTCACCATATGATCTTGCATAACAACACTTACAGAATAACATATGATTACTTATGACAAGTACTATTCAAAATACCTCTATCATCCGTGAATAGTTTCTTCAGGTTGGTAAGACACTGAGTGAAGAGACTGTTTTTACACAACCAAGTGTTTTATTCAGCCGACATTTCGGTGACTGTCTGTCACCTTCCTCAGGGCAAATCTGACTGGTTTGGGAATGCATCTATAGCAGCGACACCTGTGCTGCAGTGCAATGTGAACCAGTCAGAATTGCCCTGAGGAAGGTGACAGACAGTCACTGAAAACGTTGGCTGAATAAAAGGCTTGGTTATGTAAAAAGAGTCTCTTCACACTTATATCAGGCAACTCCCTGTATCTGTCCACCTTGGCACTCACTCACTCACTCACTATCCTGGTTTAGATTATTCTGCTGTTGGTTTATTCTGCTTGGCTCATATTTATAATGCTTTACAAAAAGAAAGAGTGTCATAACAATGTAATACTCGATTATATCATGTATTAAGGCCACACCAATTTAATTTGTTGGTTCTCGGATTCGCCTCTTCGTTTTTTTCTGATTTGCAAAAAAAAAAAAAAAATTGATTCTGGTCCTGAATCAACTGAAAAATGCTCATGTTTTGCCCCCCAACAGTTGAGGAAAGTCCTTTTCTTCCTAGTTGTTACAGTTTTCCCATCTATCATTGCAGTGGTTTGATTAATAGTTCAAAATTCAATGTTTAAATTTTAACCCAGCCTTTTGTGTTGACTTCATGGCTCATTTTGTAGCATTTAATTTTAAGCCTATAATAGGATGCCTAGACTTTATTTTAATTTTTTTTCGCCCTGTCGCTTCATATTTTTTCTGAAAAAATCCAAGAACCAACAAATTAAATTGGTGTGGCCTAAGGAATGTTGTTACATTAGTCAAGGGCCTTGGATTTGTAGACTAGTTTGCTGTTGTTGATAATCAATGGTATTTGCCATACATTGTACCTGTTGCAATCCTTGTGTAATAAACATTTACTTGACTTTGACTTGACTTGGAAAGAAAGATGACAACATGTCATGGTACTGGTAGTACTAGTAGTACTAGTAGGAGAGCAGATTCTTTAGCCAGCATTAAATTTTTCTCCGTCATCTTCATATTTTGCTGTTCAGACCAAAACTTTGTTCAATCTGTCATCTTTGACAGACAAAAGTTGGTGTGTAAAGAGATGAAAAAAGAGATGTCATGAAACTTAGCTTAGTCTACCAGCAAAATTTGCCCCTCAAAATGCAGGATTTCTGAGCATCTAGCATTTCTGAGGGTCAAGATTTCAAAACCGGGCCACCATAGTAGTGTTCATCACTCAACATGATTGGTTTCGCTTGGTTTTCTTTGGTGATAATGATCATTCTGGCATACTCATTTTCACTTGAGTGAAGTGAGTAAAGTTGTGTAAAGTGCCTTTCCCAAGGGCACAAGATCGGTGACAAGGTGGGGTTCGAACCCGGGACCTCTTGGTTCGGGGTCGAAGATGCTACCGCTACACCACACGACCCCACAACATGATGTTATGCTACATCAGTCAAATTTAAGATGATGGAAAGGATTTCAGGCTGGCTAGAACATGTTAAAACACTGATCCAATATGTTGAGTGTGTAAGAAACAGGAGGAGCCAGTAAAAACCCCTCTGGTCCCGGGCCGGGGTTCGAACCCACGACCTCCCAGGCACCAGAGCTTCATAACCAGAAGCTCTAACCGCTCCGCTAAAAGGTCTAGACCCGTTTGCCGGATCTGTTGGTAGCGCCTATAAACCCCCCAATGTTACACTACTCCCCCTTTTCTTTTCAAGATTCGTCCTCGAATCTTCCGAATTCGACATCCCTGGAGCGGCACTCTTTGCCAGAACTCCCAGGGCCGGTGTGGGAACCACTGTAAGAAACAGAAGGAGCCAGTAAAAACCCACTGGTCCCGGGTCAGGGTTCGAACCCACAACCTCCCGGGCCCCAGTCAGACACTCTAACCGCTCGGCCAAAAAGGTCTAGACCCGTTTGCCGGATCTGTTGGTAGCGCCTATAAACCCCCCACTGTTACAGGTGGCTCTGACTCAGCAGTCTTCTGAAATCACTGAACCGTCTACATGTTTTCTGACCGTTGTTCTCTCCAATTCAGAGTTTCAAGTGGACCATAAGATCAGACCAGAGTGGTGGCACTCAAAATGGTACAAGTACAGTCTAGTCATTGCCACTTCAACCAATACAGTAGCCATGTTTCTTCTACTGATGGACTTTTGTAAGGCCACACCAATTTAATTTCTTGGATAACGGATTTTTCTATAAAAATAATGGAGCGGGCAGGCGAAAAATAAAAAAAAATAAAAACAGGCCTAGGCATCCTATTATGGCCCAAAATGGTACGACAGGAGCCATGAAGTCAACACACCAGGCTGGTTCAAAATTTAAACAATGAATTTTGAACTATTTTGAAGTTTTAATGATACTACTGCATTGAAAGATGGAATGACTGTTACAAGTAGTAAGAAAATGACTGTTTTCAACGGTTCAGGGCAAAATATGAGCATTTTGCAGTTGATTCTGAATTTTTATTTTTATTTGCATTTCAGAAAAAAATGAAGCGGCGAATCTGTTAACCAAGGAATTAAATTGGTGTGGCCTAATGGATCTTTAAAAAATTGCTCTGAGGACTCTACCTTTCTCGGAAACATGTTTTGGGAAATAAATAATGGATACTAGAAATAGAAGGGTGTGTCCATTGCAAAAGAGAGCTGCTATTTCTGGGTTCTGTTCCAAAAGATTTCAAGATATTTATATAAAGCGTCAAAATAATCTTCCAACGACTTGTTTGTTTATAAAATTTTCTTCAAAAGTTGCACCTGGTAGAATTCAACTTTCTAAATCTTGTCTCTGCAACATCTAAAAACGCAGATAAAAAAAGTTATGTAATGTCTAAGTCTAGGCATTAACGTTACCCTATTAAACCATTAAATAATTTAAGGTTTCCCATCAGAAATTGGATTTAGACAAACCCACCTGAGATTATCCATCAGCACATGTTGATTCCCGGTGTTGGACGTGTCCTTTTCCGCTGGGAAATATGTTCTCCGGTAAAAAAAAAAGACGAAAACTGCTGCTGTCGACCCTGCTGAGTCACTCCTGGCCGCCGTACGTCTCTTTTGTTGTGGATGTAAACCAACCTCCGACCTCTAGCCTCTACCAGGCTTCGGGAGGTGGCTGCTAAGAGTAGAAATCGGCCAAGGGATAACATACCAGGGGAGTTTGTCTGCTGGGAGAGAACATTTCGGGTGCGGCAAAATGTTCTCTCCCAGCAGACAAAATCCCCTGGCATGTTATCTCTCTATTTGGCCGATTTCTACTCTTTTAAGTCCCCTCCCGACGCCTGGTAGAGGCTATCCGACCGCAAGTATGACCTCCCCTGACCTCACTGGAATATCTCATTACTCTTTCAATGAGGGGATGTCACGGATATGTTCCAATATTGCATCATAAAAAAATCAAGTAGATCATTTAAACGTTTAAAATAGTTTTTAAATTATATATTACTTGAGTTTTATGTAAATATGAAAGCCAATGTGTACATTTGATATAAAAATTTGAACACATGTTTAGCGTATGCACCTCATTGTATACCAGTGGTGAACTATTCCAAAGCGAAAGTATCGCGAGATCTAGCGAGCAGTGACGAGATTTCATCTTGTCAACACTTCATTTTGGTCACCTGTCTCTGCTTCGCCACTTCTTGTGCCGAATATTCCCGTCTTTAATCGCCGACAAACATTGATTTTTCGCCAAACTAAAGGCTTTTTCAAGGTGGGTGAGTACAGATATGTTTCGGTGTGTACGCTGGCTAATTATGGAGCCGTTGGAGTGAAATTTAGGCTGCTCGCAGCCAGCCTTACTTGATCAAGCGTAGCTTGAGAAGATACGTAAACAAGAACGACTCAAGATGATGTTGTTATATTCGACATCGTACATTTGTCTGTGAATTTGGTACCCTTGCCACAGTCTTTTAAATTATGTAATATTATATAGTTACCAGTGGTGTAAAATCCATAAGCTGCTTGCTCTGTGCCCTGTATGAATGTCGATTATCTCACCAGCAAAATTATGTTATGATGAGGAAGGGAAATTTTATAAACAACCTATACAAAAATAAATATGACAAATAATGTTGCTTCCTCCATCACAGATATATATGTTCAGGTTTATGCATTGTTTTTGACGACAGATATGTATTAATACATGGTAAGCAAAGTATGAAATGCAATCCAGGAAAAATCCATCTGTCTGTCTAGGGGGAAGAAGTTTTAATTTGCAGTCATGATTTATGAAACATTTTGATGGTGATCCCATTAATATGTAACGTTATATCTGTTGGTGTTATATTACATCCTACAAACTACAGTATGTTACAGTTATTTTTGTTTTGTATGGGGAATTCCCACCCTATCAAAGCTACATGTTCACACAATAATTGTTTAGTGCACATACATTGTACTATATTATATTCAAGTTATTCATAGGAGAAAGATGATGTTATGGTTTTAAATATGTCTTATTATAACAAGATACAAGCCAATACAGCTACAGTTTGGAGTTGTTAATTCAGCATAAGAGTCCTTAAGTGTTTTCGCTTCCTTTATTTTTCCTCATTTCTTAACATTATGTTATATTATCATTTTCAGGATGAGTGTACGTTATTCTGTTACCCATGAGTCAACTGGGCAAGTATTGTTTTGAATTTTAATTTTTTTTGCTTACCAGTATTGCATCTGGATATCATTTGATTCTTTTGATTGTTATGATTCGAAGAAATTTCCTTTTCCCAAACAACTGGATGAGATTACATGTATAGTCTTTGTTTCATCTAAGGCCACACCAATTTAATTTCTTGGTTAACGGATTTGCCCACTTCATTTTTTTTCTGATTTGCAATTAAAAATAAAAATTCAGAATCAACTGCAAAATGCTCATATTTTGCCCTGAACAGTTGAAAACAGTCCTTTTCTTCCTAGTTGTTACAGATATTCCATCTTTCAATGCTGAATGGTATCATCAAAAGTTCAAAATTCATTGTTTAAATTTTGAACCAGCCTGGTGTGTTGACTTCATGGCTCCTATCGTACCATTTTGGGCCATAATAGGATGCCTAGGCCTGTTCTTATTTTTATTTTTTTTCGCCCGCCCGCTCCATTATTTTTCTAGAAAAATCCGTTAACCAAGAAATTAAATTGGTGTGGCGTAATGCCCAAATGCGTTTTCCTCAATCAGAGTGGAAAGCCTATTGGCACTAGGGTCGTGAACTATCAGAACACTGGTGGAACATTCAGGTCCTTTTCAATTAGATTTGTAGCAAGGGCCACCCATGTATTAAACACAGCCTTGCAATGAGGTAGACAACGTAATAGATATCTGACAACAATTTTTTTCACAGTACTTTTCTATTCGGGGTTTTCGCGACTGCAAACTTATCATTACTGTGAAAAAATAATTTGTTGACTTAATTTTTGCTGCACCTGCTGCCACTGCAAACATATAGTTCTGCAAAAATGTCCACTTTTCTCAGAGTTCTGTTGTACTGTAAACTTTTTCTCCTGTGAACATAAAGTGATTTACAGTATATCTCACTCTCAGGCCACACCAATTTAATTTCTTGGTTAACAGATTTTTCTAGAAAAATAATGGAGCGGGCGGGCGGAAAAAAAATAAAAATAAAAACAGGCCTAGGCATCCTATTATGGCCCAAAATGGTATGATAGGAGCCATGAAGTTAACACACCAGGCTGGTTCAAAATTTAAACAATGAATTTTGAACTTTTAATGATACCATTGCATTGAAAGATGGAATAACTGTAACAACTAGGAAGAAAAGGACTGTTTTCAACTGTTGCATTTTGCAGTTGATACTGAAATTTTATCTTTATTTGCAAATCGGAAAAAAATGAAGCGGGCGAATCCGTTAACCAAGAAATTAAATTGGTGTGGCCTCAGCATGCAGAAAAGATATTTTGATGTTTTTGAAAGAATACATGTATTTTATCTGCAATTTTTTGTCATGTATTATGATGTAAGCTACAAGTTCCAACCATACCTAAACTGGCACACCCAAATTGCAAGCTGCAAGCTTGATTCTATATCTCATTAAGATTGATTGTAAATGAGATTTTGATCATATTTCACTTTACAGTATGCCATATGTTAATTCATGTGTCTTGACGTGTCATTTAGTGTCTGTTGCTTGTTTCATCACCATATGTCCTTCTGGAGCGAAATCATAACAATCTGCTCATCTTTCAATTAAGTTCCATGCCAGAATGTCATCCTAAGGCCACACCAATTCAATTTGTTGGTTCTCAGATTTGCCTCTTCATTTTTTTCTGACTTGCAAAAAAATAAAAAAAAGATTCTGGTTCTGAATCAACACAAATATGCTCATATTTTGCCCCCAACAGTTGAGGAAAGTCCTTTTTAGTAGTTACAGTTTTTCCATCTATCAATGCAGTAGTTTGATTAAAAGTTCATTGTTAAAATATATACCCAGCCTTTTGTGTTGACTTCATGGCTCCTATCGTAGCATTTGGGGCTATAATAGAATGCCTACACCTGATTTTATTTTTACTTTTTTTCCATCCTGTCACTTCATATTTTTTCTGAAAAAAATCTGAGAACCAACAAATAAAATTGGCGTGGCCTAATGATCCTATATATTCAAATATCAATAAAATCCTACTGTTTACTTTTCTTTTTACGTGGGGTTCTTCTTGAACTTTCTTGTGACCTTTTTATTGCTGACAAACATATTAATCAGAATATTGATTTCACATTGATCACCCCATTGTGATGTTGAGGCAGCCACCGAGTGAAATGATCCCCATAAATTGTATCTAATTTCATGTTTTGACATGGAGGGGGAGGGGGGCAACTTGATAAAGCAGGGCTCGAAATACTGGGTTCATGTGCACTAAAATCGGAGCTGTGCACCCAATTTTTTTCTGTGGGTGCACTGGTGCACCTAAATATTTTTTAGGTATTTTTGTACATATTAAATGTATACAGTAATACTGGATATTCTTGCCATTTAAGTCTTTGTCGTAGTATTTGTTTAAGATTTTGAAGTTAGCTCCCATTTAAGATTCAAGCTCAGAAGAGCAGTAAGATCTGGTGCACCCAAAAAATTTTCTGTACACCTAATTTTTTAGGTTGGGTGCACCAGTGCACCTATTCCCAAAAATGAATTTCGAGCCCTGTAAAGAGTCCACGCCTAACATTTTCTTGGCTCTAAATCATCGTGATGTTGTAGCTTACTCAGAGTCATACAGCCCTGCATACATATTATATGTACTATTTTGATGTAGCATGTACAATCTCGGTATATATTTTGTTATCTGCACTTTAACAATTTACGACCTAAATTACTAAACCACGGACCGTGCTTAAAGTTAAACTGTTGGGGGTCGCACATATGCATTCTCCCCTATGGCATTTAACAAGTGGTACTGTAAATCACTTTATGTCTGTGGTAGCCGAAACAATAGTTCGCTTTCTAAGAAAAATGGAAACATTCACAGAACTGTGCAACTGCAAGGAAAGGAAGTTGGCAACTTATCTGTTTGTGGTAAGGATAAATTCGCGGTATAGAAGTGAGAGTACCGTGAAAAAAATTGTGATTTACAGTACATTTTATATTATCCCTTGGATCTATTGTCTTTTAAATTTATGGTTCACTTTTGGTTGAGTTGGAAATCTTGGATGCACTTTCCCCATGACTTTCCCTTTGGAATGGTGTTCTGTTTTCTGTGAATATAAATCAGTAGTAGTACTAAGGCCACACCAATTTATTTTCTTGGTTAACGGATTTTTGTAGAAAAAAAATGGAGCGGGCGGGCGAAAAAAAAATAAAAATAAAAATTTGATACTACCTGCCATACATGATGTAGTATGAAATCCAGACTGCTTATCAAGTTACGAAAATACTGGGAAAGAAACAAAAGACAAGAGAGGATGTACCGTATTGTGTTTTATTTGCTATCCACACCATTTGGGTTGATAATCTTTTTCGTACACGAGCAAAATGCAGAAAACAAGTTTTAGCATGTTACTTCCAAGTTCCACCATCATGTACCCTGATATGTACTCTAAAACATGACACGAATGTTAACTCTCACAAGCAATTTCATAGTCACAACAACTTTAAAGGGGACAAAATTTATTCAATTTTACATGTACTGTACCTAGATTCTGCCTTGATCCAAAGTTCCAGCTTTCTCAAACAATTTAAGTCCGCCATGAGGCTCCCGCCACCAAAACAAATGACTGAGCCAACATGGTTCCAGAACATCGCATCTGATTGGTCAGAAAGTTAAACAATCCACGATTGGCTACTTTACGTCATGTGACTATGTGTGCAGGAGCGCCTCTAGCGACATTGGTATTAACTGCAGCAATTTCATTGGGGTCTCCCTGTTCAGGGTATTACCGGCCTGTGGGGTCTAAACTATGACGTTTTTTATTTTTATTTTCATTCGGCAAAAAAAGCAAGCGGCGAATCCGTTAACCAAGGAAATAAATTGGTGTGGCCTAACGGATAAATCATGATTTACAGTATAACTCTATTGTCTAGAATTATGGTACACTTTTTGGGTTGAGTTGAAATCTTGGATGCACTTTCCTCAATATGGTTTTTCCATAATTATGGAATTGAGTACTGATTTCTGTATACTGTGTACTGTAAATCACTTTATTTTCATGGTAGCAACAATTCGCACCCTGAGAAAAGTTCGAAATACTGCAAATGTACAGTCATGTAGAGTGGTTTACAGTATATCCTAAATGCTGCTATGATCTGTGGTGCACTTTTGGGTTGAGTTGAAATTCTTGGATTGCACTTTCCTCACAATTATCCATATGGAACTGAGTCATATAGAGTGATTTACAGGACATGTATATCCCTTGGATCTATGGTGCACTTTTGGGTTTAAGTTGGAATTCTTGGATTGCACTTTTCTCACAATATTCCATATGGAACTGAGTCATGTAGAGTGATTTACAGGACATGTACTAATATATCCCTATGGTGCACTTTTGGGTTGAGTTGGAATTCTTGGATTGCACTTTTCTCACGATTTTCCATATGGAAATGGGTCATGCAGAGTGATTTACAGGACATGTACTTCCCTATGGTGCACTTTTGAGTTTAAGTTGGAATTCTTGGATTGCACTTTTCTCACAATTTTCCATATGGAACTGAGTCATGTAGAGTGATATACACTAATACAGGTATAGGACATGTACAGTATATCCCTTGGATCTATGGTGCACTTTTGGGTTTAAGTTGAAATTCTTGGATTGCACTTTTCTCACAATTTTCCATACGGTATGGTGTTCTGTTTTTCCTGCATGCGACCTTCTACTAGCTAGCATGCCACTTTCCCTCTACTTCCAGGAATGTCTAGAATCCGCTCCCGCGTAGGGAAGCTTGTGGGATCCAAGGAAAAAGGCCGGGCCAGTAGCCTGGATGAAACCAGCACCTCTTCCCCCCCACTCCCCATGTCAGGGGAGGGTAACAGTAGTGTTGTTATGCTGAAATACCACAGGCCTAGGATGGGTTCACTGGAGGACTCGGACCACGTGGAGGTGATTCAGACACAGAGCGCTGGACCACAGTCTCCAGGAAAGACCTCCGCACAGGTAAGATATATATATCACTACCAAAAATGTTTTTTCTTGTTTATCTTGTTCTTCTTCCAGACAGAAAATTTATCTTCCATGAAGAATTTTTTTCTGTGTCCAAGAAACATTAATTTTTGAAAACTTGTTTGTCAATGGGGCAAGATATTTTTTCTTGAGAATTTTTCTTGCAGTAAGATTTGTATTCTTATATTTCATACGTCAATCAAATCTGTTTGAGTCTAAGAAATCATGGAGAAACCAGCCAGTTTGCCTTGACTGTGGGATGATTTTTTTGTTCGACGTAAGGTCGCACCAATTTAATTTGTTGGTTCTTGGATTTTTTGCAGAAAAAATATGAAGCGACAGCGAAAAAAAAATAAAAACCGGTCTAGGCATCCTATTATAGCCCCAAATGCTACAATAGGAGCCATGAAGTCAAGACAAAAGGCAATGTTGATATTCAAACAAAGAATTTTGAACTTTTATCAAACTACTGCATTGATAGATGGAAAAACTGTAACAAGTAGGAAGAAAAGGTCCTGGACTTTCCTCAACTGTTGGGGGCAAAATACTAGTATGTGTATATTGGAGTTGATTCAGAACCAGAATCTTTGTTTTTTTTTTGTGCAAAATTAATCAGAAAATGAAGAGAAAATTTGACGCTACTTTTTTGCATATACATCTCAGTTCTAAGAAGTGTTTTTGATATGTACAGTAAAAGGTTACACAAATATATGCCTAACATCTGAAATATGTGTTCAGAATTCACTCCTGTGCGTCATACTGACAGCCTACACTCACATTAAGAAGTCCTTGACATTTTCCTGGCTATCTGGTGTGTATTCTGCATATGGTGCACTGAATTAATCTCATCTCTGGCCACACCAATTTAATTTCTTGGTTAACGGATTCGCCCGCTTCATTTTTTTGATTTGCAAATAAAAATAAAAATTCATCTGATCAACTGCAAAATGCTCATATTTTGCCCTGAACAGTTGAAAACAGCCCTTTTCATCCTAGTTGTTACAGTTATTCCATCTTTCAATGCAATGGTATCATTAAAAGTTCAAAATTCATTGTTTAAAGTTAGAATCAGCCTGGTGTGTTGACTTCATGGCTCCTATTGTACCATTTTGGGCCATAGTACTATTAATAGGAATTGCCTAGGCCTGTTTTGTTTTTTTTCGCCCGCCCGCTCCATTATTTTTCTAGAAAAATCCGTTAACCAAGAAATTAAATTGGTGTGGCCTGAGTTAAGATTAATCTTATCTCTCCTATTCATGTAAAAATTTATTAATGGTCAATACATCTAGTTAGGCAACAAGCAATTGAATCTGTTGGTAACAGTTGGTTAGTGGATTTGCCTGCTTCGTGTAAAAAAAATATTTTGGCCCCAACATTTGAAGAAAGTAAAGATTGCCTTCCTAGCTTTGTTGCAATTTTTCCATTGATCAATGCAATGGTTTGATTAAGTTGAAAATTCATTGTTTGAATTATTATAAACCAGCCATAAGGTTTTGAAATTGTAGACTTCTATATATATATTATATACATGTATATATCCATAACAACATTTCCTGTATTATAACTAGGTATGATAAGATAAGATATATATAATTATATCAAAATCAAAATCTGAGAGACCACAATAAAACATAATTGTGCAATTTGCATTTTTCAAAATTGGACAATACTGGTATGTAACATTGTACAGTAATTCTTGTATGATTAGTATGTTTTTCCTTTTACAATATTCCAGTGCCTATCACAACTGTTCAACATATATATAGAAAGTGCAATCGTGCTAACTGGATTACCAAGGGCTTTGCCAATGTCACGACAACTTGGCACACCCATGTCTATATATAAGTATACACCTAATCAAAGCCAGGCCCCGTAATGTCTCCAATAATATAGGACATCCTTTTCACATGATCACCCCCTACTGAATACAAATGTCATAGACACACTCCCTTACTTAGTCAGGGTACGGCTTACACAAATAGTTAGGCATTTGGCTGGTGTGGACAAAGCAGGGCTCAAAATACTTTTTTTCGGTTAGGCCACACCAATTTAATTTCTTGGTTAACGGATTCGCCCGCTTCATTTTTTCTGATTTGCAAATAAAAATAAAAATTCAGAATCAACTGCAAAATGCTCATATTTTGCAACAGTTGAAAACAGTCCTTTTCTTCCTAGTTGTTACAGTAATTCCATCTTTCAATACAGTGATATCATTAAAAGTTCAAAATTCATTGTTTTGATTTTGAACCAGCCTGGTGTATTGACTTCATGGCTCCTATCGTACCATTTTGGGCCATAATAGGATGCCTAGGTCTGTTTTTATTTTTATTTTATTTTTGCCGGCCCTCTCCATTATTTTTCTAAAAAATCTGTTAACCAAGAAATTAAATTGGTGTGGCCTTAGGCCTAGGAAAGAATATTTTTACATGCAAATCTTGAAAATGATACCAGCCCAGAAAAGAACACAAAACTTGAAGTCTTGCATTCAAATATAAGTGTTATCAACCAAGAATTGAGGTGTGCAAAAGCTTGTATTTTTCCAGAACTATCGTAGAGGGTCTGCATGCCCTTTTTTGTTAACCGTTATGGGCTATTTTAATTCTCCGTTAATCGTTGCCGGCCTGCTCTAATTCAACGTTAAGCGTTATCGGTATATTCCTCGTGAAGCGTTATTGGTCATTTTAATTGTACGTAAAGCGTTATTTGTCATCCTAAATTCAGCGTTAAGCGTTAATGAATAATTCTTCGTTACGCCTAATTTTGCCTTTCAAAGTGCAGGAAAATGCGTCATTGAAGATTTAAAAATACAAAATTTCCCGGGGGAGAATGCCCCCGGATCCCCCTACATTGCTCGCGCCTTTGGCGCTCGACTCGCGCTTCTGCGCTCGGTCCCTTCGGCTCAAGCCAGAACCAGCTTTCCCGTCAATTTCCGGAAGTTTGCGGAGAGTTACAGAATTTTTTTTAACGAATCCGTCAACCTTGACAGGCAAATTAACAAAAATCTTGAGTAAAATATGAAAACATCAGAAGGACCGACAAACACTCTCAACACCATGATTTGCCTCTCAAGATGCGGGAAATTGCCTTTTTGAAGGCTTAAGAATCCTAAATTTCCCGGGGGAGCATCCCCCGGACCCCCCTAGATTAAGATCCCCTCTCAAAATCCATCGGTCAAACTGGGCGGACTGAAAAAATGCAAGCTGGCCGACGTCGACTCGGACCCCCTGTATTTGTGGACGCACTCGGGGACCAGGGCAAGTGGGAAACACAGGGAACACATACATTTAATGCGTGCCTCATTACATGTAAGATATACGTAATTTTGTCAGTGATCACCTTTTCTCACAAAGCGAGATACCAAATCCAGTGCAGCTCGAAAAAAAAAGCCTGTAAATTTACCGTTAAGCGTTGCCGACCGTCCTGAATTTACCGTTAAGCGTTATCGGCCCTGCTGAATTCACCGTTAACCGTTGCCAGGACCCCCCCATGCAGACCCTCATCGTAGAGTGGAACTCGTTGCCACCAAGCACAGTTGGGGCATCATGACTAGAAAGTTTTAAACAACTCCTGCAATCAAATGTGCAAAGATTGAGTGTAACAAGTCGTTCGGTGTGATATAGCTAGCTGCCGCGCCACGTTCCTGCGAAGCTGGTGTGTTACGCCGAAGGGCGGTTATAGTAATATACCCAATACAGATACAGAAATTGCAACTTGTATACTGTAATTCACTTTATGTTCACGGTAGCAAAATTTCACGGTCTTAGAAAAATGGACATGTTCACGGAACTATATGTTCACGGTGGAGACAGGTGCAGGAAAAAGAAAGTCCAGAAATTTTTTGTTAACTGTAATGATAAGTTCACTGTACAGAAGTGACAGTGAAAACAGTGAACTTATCAGTACAGTGAACAAATCAGGAATTACAGTATTTTATTTATTTTGAGCCCTGCAAAGTTGCAAACCCATATGGCACTTCCTTTCCTATACCAGACAGTGTGTACACAACTCATGCAGAAAAAGGTTAGCTGCTATTTTCCTATTCAATTTCGCCAAAGTGTGTGTACTGTGGAGGAAAGAAAATATTGGCCATAGTACGGTGCACATGATTAATTTGTTGAGACATTTGCTTCATTGTTTGCCTGCAAAAGGTCACGTTAAAGTTGTGTATTGATATAACAGTAATGTACCAGAGTGGCTCAGTTACATGTGCTTGACAGATGTGACATTTTGTTTTGCCAAATTATATAACGTAAGCAGCCTAGGTATAAGACATCATTGGTGTAAAATTGCAGTTTTTTCCTGTGTCTTTCTGGCATTGCATTTGGTTACAATGAATTACTGCCAAGATATTATATTAGATTGTGTCAATACACCTCTTCTTTACCTCTAAAGCTACAATTATATAATAAACTATACCAACAAAAACAAAATGCCATTAGATATTTGACAATCTTTTCTTCTAATTACATACACTTGTTTTATACCATACTTAACTTTCTCCCTGTTACTGAAAGCATATTTGGCGGTAAAATTAAAACACTACATAAACAGGAACTTCCGAATCAACAAAGTTAACATTATTTTATAATGATCATAAATGAAGGAAATTGAATGATATGAGAGCCAGCTGGATTTTTTTCGTCAGCTCATGATCTGACCTGGGGGGAGAGTGTTCACAATCTAGGGAGAGCAGGGGGTTTCCAAAGCCTTTAACACATTTTGAGAGGGGGTTGAGAGTTGTTGTTGGTGGTCCTTTGGATGTTTTTATATTTTTACCCAAGATTTTTACCTCCATGAAAAATGGAGGTATTGTTTTTGGCGGCGTCTGTCTGTGTGTCTGTGTGTCTGTGTGTGTGTGTCTGTGTGTCTGTGTGTGTTTCCGCAACTTTGTAGTCAGCATAACTTCATAACGCCTTTATGGATTGTGATGATATTTGGTATGCTGATAAGTCTTAGGAAGACAAACGTCAAGGTCAAATATGGGCCTCCTGGTGGATGACCTTGGTACTGCAGCAGAACTTCCGGTTTTTGTATCTTTTGTCCTGAACATGCTATGGTCTTGATGTTTTGGTGACAGATAGCTTTTCCTGTCAGGAATAAGTGGTGTGGGTTTGGTCCCCCTAGCAGCTTGTACTGGAACTGCAGGGCACTTTCTGGCGAAATGTTTAAAAGCCAATAAGTCCAGATAGGAACAACATATTTTCATAATTTTTGGTGTGTAGGTATCTGAGAGAGAGATGTACAGAATTAACTGCAAATTATGCAAATGAGGACTTTATTTGCATAACTAATGAGGAAATTCTATAATTACAGTGTTTTACATTATACTACTTTCATACATGTAATGTATGTAATCTATGGCAGGGAGAACATCAACAGATACTAATTATGCAAATGATGACCTAATTTGCATAATTTATGCAAAAATTCTATGATTTCTTTATGGTGAATGATGGGAATGTCATACTTGGGACATCTGTAACTTAATCAAAAGTGATGCATATATCATGTTAATGCAGAGGTAATTTGCATAATTAAAGAAGAAATTTACATTTACATATTAAGCCCATATTTCATGGAGGTATGAAGTCTCGGAATTCTTGTTGTCAGTTTTGTCCGTCAAGGTTGACGGATTTGTTTTAAAATTTTTCTGTCACATGCTGCAGAGTACCGGTAAGGCCACACCAATTTAATTTGTTGGTTCTCTGATATTTTCAGGAAAAAATAATGAAGCGACAGGGTGAAAGAAACAGGTCTACGCAATAATCTATTATAGCCCCTAATGCAATGATAGGAGCCATGAAGTCAACACAAAGGCTGGGTTAATATTTAAACAATGAATTTTGAAATTTTAATGAAACCACTGCATTGTTAGATGGTAAAACTGTGAGAAAAGGACTTTCCTCAATGGTTGGAGGCAAAATGTGAGCATTTTTGAGCTGATTCAGCACCAGAATCTTTTTTTTGTGCAAATTAGAAAAAAAATGAAGAGGCGAATCCGAGAACCAATACGTTGATGACTAGTCTGAAGTAGATGGTGTGGGCTTTGGCAGACTTTGAATAATTCTGTCTGGTCTGTGTTTGCGCTTGCAGGGTTCTGTGGAGAGTCTCCCCGGCTCAGAGAGGGAGATGTATGAGCGACAACTGGAGCAGCTCCAAGAACAGCTGGTGGCGGCCATGATCGAGAACCAGAACCTAGGTCAGAGGGCACGGTAGTCTTAATCACACAATCAACAAGAGAGCCCTTTTGTAAAATAGGGCAGAGATCCAACTCTTGATATTCCTGATATCTTTGCTGTTAATCTTCTGGTCTCAAATACGGTGATACAATATGAAGCAAGTTTAAACTGTAATTTCCAACACAAGAAAATGGACTCACCCAAATTTTTGACTGTACAACTCCAGTCTTTGTCTAGGAATATTGTGTTGGAAATTACAGTTTAAACTTGCTTCATTATGATTTCTACCAACACAGATGAACTTTCAAGATACAGTAATACAATTTTAAGGAAGTGTAATATTACAATGTACATCAAATTGCTCTAAAAAGACAGTCACTCTCATTTCTCCAAGGTTGTTTTGATGATATTTTTGACAGATGTCATCATCTTTTTCTATTTTCCAAGTACAGAAATGTAAAATTAATATACATCAAACTGCTCTGAAAAGGCAGTCACACTGATGTTTCCATATCTTTCTACAAGATAGTTACGATATTTTTTACAGAAGTCATCATCTTTTCCTACCTTACAACAGTGTAAGTCAAATCATTGTCTTCCCTCCCTCTGTCCCTGCAGAAAAGGTTCACACAGAGTTGAAGAGAGAAAGAGACAAAAACCAAGACCTTCTCAGACGGATACAGGACCACGAGTACAACCAGGAGGAGTCTCCAGCCACACCCAGGTACAGTACATGGTCACCTGGCAAAACAACTATATATTAGGTAAACAGCTGTCATATCCAGGGGCACACCTGTCACGCCCTGGTGCAGACCTGTTATACCCAGGTGCACACCTGTCACACCTACATGTACTTAGTTGAGAAACAGCTGTCACAATCAGATACACACCTGTCACACTGAAGTACATAGTACATGTTATACCCAGGTGCACACCTACATGTAGATAATAGTAGAGAAACACCTGTCATACCTACTACATGTAGTAGAGAAACACCTGTCACACCCAGGTACTCGCCTGTACACACCTGTCACACCTACTAGTTGAGAAACAGCTGTCACACCCAGGTGCACACTTGTTATACCCAGGTGCACACCTGTTATACCCAGGTGCACACCTGTCACACCTAGTAGTAGAGAAACAGCTGTCACACCCAGGTGCACACCTGTTATACCCAGGTGCACACCTGTTATACCCAGGTGCACACCTGTCACACCTAGTAGTAGAGAAACAGCTGTCACACCCATGTGCACACCTGTTATACCCATGTGCACACCTGTTATACCCATGTGCACACCTGTTATACCCATGTGCACACCTGTTATACCCAGGTGCACACCTGTTATACCCAGGTGCACACCTGTTATACCCAGGTGCACACCTGTTATACCCAGGTGCACACCTGTCACACCTAGTAGTAGAGAAACAGCTGTCACACCCAGGTACATGTACATAATATGATGTTCCTGTCATGCATAGTCAATATAGTTACATGTAGGATTATATGTATGATAGGAGATGTTTCTCATGCCTTTTCCATACCTGTCTATTATTAATTGAATAGACCTTGAGGTACACAGTTGGTACATGATCATGAGGGGTAAGCTAGAATAAAGGAGATTTGGCACTGCTCTGCTGCAGCACCTAAATGTCAGAGACAGATGCCTGCTGCCCTACCCCTGAACCAAGGTAGAATTGGTATCCAGACAGCTACTCCAGTGTGCTAAAGGTTAACTGTGCAACTTGGCTTCCATTTATTGATTTGTATCATTGAATAGTACCCTGACATTTTCCCTAAGGCCACACAAATTTAATTTCTTGGTTAACGGATTCGCCGCTTCATTTTTTTCTGATTTGCAAATAAAAATAAAAATTCAGAATCAACTGCAAAATGCTCATCTTTTGCCCTGAACAGTTGAAAACAGTCCTTTACATCCTAGTTGTTACAGTTGTTCCATCTTTCAATGCAATGGTATCAATAAAAGTTCAAAATTCATTGTTTAAATTTTGAACCAGCCTGGTGTGTTGACTTTATGGCTCCTATCGTACCATTTTGGGCCATAAGAGGATGCCTAGGGCTGTTTTATTTTTATTTATTTTTCGCCCGTCCCGCTCCATTAATTTTCTAGAAAAATCCGTTAACCAGAATTAAATTGGTGTGGCCTAAGGGAAGGTCAGCATATGGCAGACCCTGGATAAGAAATGTCAGTCATGTAAAATTTAACAATTCAGGCATACTGAGGCCACGCTGAGTTCATTTTATATGGATGACATCCTCTGAAGACCCAAAACTAATGCGAAAGGGTGAATAGATAAAAATTCCAGTAAAAAAAAATAAACATGCTGCTATACATATACCATAGGAATACAAAGCTGGTACCTGTGTGTGTATTGCAAATTTCTGGTTGTGCATAACTTTAATGGCAATCCGGCACATGCTGGCCTTTTGTGGCATTTATGAGTCGGCACTGTACTGAGTTTATTTATTTTTATTTTATTTTATTCACATTTATTTTCCGAGGATGAGGCAAAAAGTTATAAAACTTATCTCAGCCCTCTCCTCACACATAAAAGGATACAATAAAACAAAGTAATAATAATAATAAGAAATGACAAGGGTACTGAGTTCTTGAGTTCTTTGGAGCCTTGGTAGCCTGGGTGTCATCCTCTGTAGTTACCACCGGCTCCCTGTTGTCCCTAAGCTATCATGGACTATATTGAGGATGGCACCCATGCAGGCTTCAGCTTCCTCAAAGATTTTTTTTGAGAACAGGTCAAAACCGGTGCATGTGTAGGAAAGGTGTTTACATGTTACAGTAGGTACGCCGTTATGACGTTCGATGTATATGTCATCCATAAAAATAATTTAAAATCAGTGTGGCCTTATGTAACTGTTGTGGGAGAGGGTTGCCTTTATAGCCAGTTGAAGTGTCTTTATCAATATTGCATCATCATAATTATACATGCAGCAGTAGGGGCAAAACATGTCTCTCAATAAGGCAACACCAGTTTGATATGCTGGTTCTCGGATTCGCCTGCTTCATTTGCAAAGAAAAAAAGATTCAGGTTATGAATCAACTCTCAGTTTTTCCATCCATTCCTTTACAGTTTTTATTAACAACAATGGTTTCTAAACAGTTTAATATCCATACTTCCAAAAGAGGTGGTGAATGCAGGTAAAATTTGCCTGTTGTTAACTTGTAGGTAATTTTCAATGTGATATGCATCAGTGCAGGTACATGTACATGTAAGCAGAGAAAAGTATTCATCAGGCATAACAGCTTCTGCAAGGTTGCATGAAACATTGTTCATCAACCATCAATCCTATTAGTGAAAAACCAGCAGGCAAATTGAATGTACTACAACATTGTGACAACACTAATTACTGTGACATTAGCCTGGTGGCTTTGCCGGAAGACCTCCTTATTACGTGGAGAGAAATCCATCAGTAATTAGGCCATCCACTCATTTTGCCAGGACTACTGATTACTTCAAACCAATTTTGACCAGTCTGTCCTGTTACCAAGAAGATGGATTCTATCTATAGCTGTTACCATTAGGCCACACCAATTAGATTTGTTGGTTCTTGGATTTTTTCAGAAAAATATGAAGCGACAGGGCGAAAAAAGACAGGCCCAGGCATCCTATGATAGCCCCAAAAGCTACAATTATCAAGCTATAAAGTCAAGAGACCAGGTTGGTTTCCAATTCAAATAGTGAATCTAAAATGTTTTGTGAAACCAACAAAATTGTCCCCATCTGATGTACACCCAGTCTGAATAACCACACAGTACAGACATTGTTTGCACTGGTAATTGTGTCTAAAGTAATGTGTAAACTTACACATGTACACAGTACTTACACAGTACAGTATTGTCGCATATACTATTAGACATTTTGGTCACACTTAGCAGAGTAACACACAAGTAAATTTCATAACTTATATAAGACCACACCAATTTTTTTCTGTCAGTGAGTAAAAAAAAGGATTCTTGCTCCCAACAATACTTGTCTTGGACTTGGAGTTTCTGTGTTGAAGTTTTGCCGTCTAACAATGCAGTGAATTGGTTTCAAAATTCATTGTTTGAGCCTGGTACTAGTAATAGTTACTGTAGTATATATCCTGTGTGTTTCTGTCTATTATTCTACACCATGCACAAGTGTATGCTTTACCCAGTCTCATTTTGCCCGGCAATGATGGCATGTAATATCCCCTCTATGGACTAGCTGCATCTTCAGATTGATTATTAGAACCTCAGGCCATATATAGATGTAATTTTTTGGTTAACGGATTTTTAGTAGAAAAATAATGGTGCGGGCAGGCAAAAAAATAAAAAATAAAAACAGGCCTAGGCATCCTATTATGGCCCAAAATGGTACGAGAGGAGCCATGAAGTCAACACACAAGGCTGGTTCAAAATTTAAACAATGATTTTATGAACTTTTAATGATACCATTGCATTGAAAGATGGAATAACTGTAACAACTAGGAAGAAAGGACTGTTTTCAACTGTTCAGGGCAAAATATGAGCATTTTGCAGTTGATTCTGATTTTTTTTTTAAGCGGGTGAATCCGCTAACCAAGAAATTAAATTGGTGTGGCCTTAGCGAGGCCCAGATTTGGTGGACAGAGCTTACTGTGATCAGGTGGCGCAGGCATAGCTCATCATAAATAATTACCTCCAACCAATTGGCATTCTGATCCAACAAGTCCCTCATACGTCCAATAAACGACCAGTACAACAGTCTGCCTTTGTAGAGGGGATTTTGGAGTGAAGTAAATGTAATCTATACATGATGCAGTCAGTCAGTCCTGACTACAGAGAGTTGATTAGTAATCAGTCTTGCTGTGACTGCCACCTCATCATTTGATGGTACAAATTCTCAACACCATTTAGGGCTCAAAATTCATTTTTTTGTAGTGCACCTAAAATTGGAGCTGTGAAGGTATTTCTGATGTCTACATGTACCTGCACCTAACATCCATGTACATTGTACAGTGTTTTATATATGACATATGCAGGACTGTACTATGTGGATTTTTATTTACTGCATTGACTGTTACCATGTATGAAGTATAAAAGAAATAATGGCAACAGTTTCTGAAAGTTTTTTTTTTTACTGTTACAGTATATATTTCTCTGATGAGTGGTGCAGGAAAAATTTTTAATGCAGGTTTGCAAAAACAAAGAATTTCCAGACCTGCCTTTGAATGTATACTTAGTCTTAGTAATCAAATGTCCACTGTGGTAACCCATAATACTCGGTCTTCCCATGATGCAGCATTCTGAGGCGGCGACGCCCCCTTGGAGATGTTGACCCTGCAGATGAAGCCCTGGAGAACCTGGACCATACCAACAGGGCCGGGGTCCAACAACATGGCAGACAGCAAACTGGTACCTCTTTTCTTTGAACATTTTTTTTTTACAATAAGGCCACACCAATTTAATTTCTTGGTTAACAGATTCACCCATTTCATTTTTTTCTGATTTGCAAATAAAAATAAAAATTCAGAATCAACTGCAAAATGCTCATATTTTGCCCTCAACAGTTGAAAACAGTCCTTTTCATCCTAGTTATTCCATCTTTCAATGCTAATTGTGGATCTAAATAAACCAAACCAAACCAAACCAATGGTATCATTAAAAGTTCAAAATTCATTGTTTAAATTTTGAACCAGCCTGGTGTGTTGACTTCATGGCTCCTATCGTACCATTTTGGCCCATAATAGGATGCCTAGGCCTGTTTTTGTATTTATTTTTTTATCGCCCGCCCGCCCCATTATTTTTCTCGAAAAATCCGTTAACCAAGAAATTAAATTGGTGTGGCCATAGTACATTTTGTAAATACAATTACTATAACTTGTATTATAAAGGGATATGAATTCATGTTTGATCAATATACACAATCTTTAGTTTACATTTTATATTCATATACATTTTACAAACTTTTAAGACAAAAAATTAAAAGAAAATGTGCACCTGTGCATGTATCAATCTTTTTTTTTTCTGACTATGGTGACATCTACAGACAAAAAGAACAAGCCGGCCGCCAAAGTGACATTCCTGGAACGAATGATGGAGAAAGTTTATGAACTCATGCAAGACTTCTCAGAGGTGGCCAAGGAGGAGACGGTACAGGTGGAGCAGGAAGGAGACCCTCTCACAGTCAAGAAGTAAGTCTTCATTTTCTATCTCATTTTAAGAGATATTGATATGAACTCTAATGCATGTTCTTGCCCAGATGGGCTTAATGCACAAATGTGATAAAAAAACATGAGTATTGCATACTCAGTGAATATGCATGAATATTCAATGGGGTCGTGTGGCGCAGCGGCAGCGTTCTCGACTCGGAACCAGAGGCCCCGGGTTCGAGTCCTGACATGCCACCGATCTTGTGCCCTTGGGAAAGGCACTTTACACGACTTTCCTCACTTCGCTCAGGTGAAAATGAGTATTGTACTGTCCCTGTGTTGGTGTCGGCATTAATATAAGTTGAAAAAACTTGAGTGTGTCGTCACCACGTCTTGTGATTACATGTTTCGGAATAAAAAAAAATAAAAAAAAGTATTGCATACTGGAATGCCATATTCTAATTCTAAGTGCTAGGAGTCTACAGATATATTACAACTGTTACAATACTATACAGTACTACCATTCATCTGCTGTTAGTTGCCCTTTCTTCTCTCTTTTTGAAACATTTGGAAACATAATTACATAGTTTGTCTGCTATACATTCGTTCTTGCATGACATCAAGTGTTTAAACATGTCCTGCTTTGACATTTTTATGGCTTCACCACAAAGTGGTGAAGACATATTGTGTTCCCTCAAGTTTCTTCTTCTTCTCCTGCCATTTCTTTAAATGGATTCATCTCTGCCATTTTCCGGCCAAATAACACGAAATTTGGCATGAAGGTAGAGTGGGCAAATACCCCGACGCGTTTTTTTTCATTTTTTTTGAAAAATTGTTTTATTTGGGTTTTTTGGCCATTTTTAGGCAAAAAATATACATTTTGAGATCTGGTTCCCAGGTACTAAAACCAA